CAATAAAGAGAACAAGAATAACTTAAAGGCAGAGTAAGTGGTTTCTGGTAGCCAATGTTGATATTTGAAAACACCAAAACAAACACGGCCCTACCCCAAAAGGGTCTTGCCCCTATTTTGATAGCTCCGCCCCACATATACGTACGCAACCCAGGCAACGATTAGTTCTGTGAAACAAAGCAAAACCAATGTTACACCGTGTCTACGGACGTGAGCGGCGCGGCGCAACAAATCCCGACAGAAAACTGCTGCCGGGTTCTATTTATGACGTGCTGACACAAATTTCAAATGGTTTTCAACGGTCGTTTGATCGCGTCCAGTGTAGTCAGACTTTAGCTGTTGTAGACACGGTGTTACTCACCTATTGAGAAGAAACAAAGCAACCTCGGGGTCCGATCGCAGGCCTCCGCTCCTTGAGTTCTCTCCAGCGCTGGAAAGCTGATCCGATATTTTCACGGGTCCTACTTCTTGCCTTATCTTTCCGCAGACGTTTTCCTCTTTTGTTTTTTTATCCGCCATCTCTATCTTTCTGTCGCTCGGCTCGGCTAATGTCCGTCCCATGCACTGAACGCGCTCTCCTCCACATCACGAGTAGACACGCCCCTTATTGCTGATTGGCTACAAGTTTGTTTTGCGATTCGGCCCGAATCAGTTTTCTAAAGTGTTTTTGAAAAATCACTTACTCTGCCTTTAATTAACAGAATCAAAATCATAATGTATCTGGAAGTGGAAGACAAGTATTTCACTATTAAGGTGCAGTAACATTAATTTCGGCAAAATTTTGTGGGAAAAAAATGTCCATTCTCTATTGTCAATAGAGTAGCGAGGTATGAAGCTCAACTCACACAGAAGTCACTTTCAAACCAAGCAGCTTTCTGTTGGTCTTTGTAACCAACTTATACCTGTTGTGAAAAATGCATCAGAAGATCTTTCGTCCTCACATGACATTCCTGATTGCTGTGGATTCCTATTGAAATTACTGCATTTTGGTTGTGAATATTTGCTGAACAATGGTGAATGCATGATTGCACCTTTATGCAGGAAAAATATCTGCCAAATAATCCTAAGGACAGAATCATAGGCCTATAAAATAAACACAATGTAAAATGCAATTTCATGGCCAGTAAATTGTACATTTTCTACATTTGACAGGTCCAAAAGTTAATTTTGGTCCCTTAGTGCAACATACTAACCAAATGTGCAACATATACCAATAGTCTTGGAGAGTTAAAGGAATTCTCAAGATGTATGCATCCAATATTTCGGACAAGACAATATGCAAAAAATAAAGTGTGCTAATATACAAAAACTGATTAGACAGCATAAAGTCTATATGCAATTTACACCTACACCTTGACTTTGTACTAGTTCCTGAGCTGTATTTAAAGCTCTGAGGAAAACAACCTCATCCAAATCAAGTGCAGTATACCACAGCATCAGGGAGACAGATCTGCACAATTCAGCAGGTGTATCAGCAGGAAACATGCTGATATTTTCCTGCACTACAGGGATTTCTCACTATTGATGAGAGGCATCAGATTCCCAGTGGAAATACGGCCTCCTGCTTTTGATAGTGACTCACTTCATTTGTCCCCTTATACAACACAAGCTTGCTTCAACCACAGATTGACTGATATTTTTAGTTTGAAATCGTAATCATTAACAAGGTTTTATTTATTTCAGGAAAAAAAAACTGGTGATCTGGGCAACACTGGGTCTATCTACATAAGGCCCAAAGAGCAGCATGAAGGCAGTGGAATCAAACTCGAACTTGAAAACAAACTTTTAAGCATGGCTTAAATGTCCAAATACTTTTGTAGGCCATCGTATTACTAAATATATAAGCATGGAGATTCAGGGATAGCAGTACAATATTTTTCAAATGTTGTTAAAATCAGTTTGCTAATCTACCTGCATTTAATGTGGTTTATATAAAGTTGCAAAATAAATTGATTCTTATTCCTCATAAATTAGCCAACTCACAGTTTGCAACTTCAGAGAAACTGTGGAAATTGGCCCAGACCTTATAAGAAAAAACAGCAAGCCTAAGCTGAAAATGTGGTCTTGGTCAAAGCATGTAATCAAACACATTAGTATCGCTATTAGATCAGCAAGCAACTACTAATTGGCCGATATACCCGTCTTCCTCAATGTTCCTTTATGTTCAGTTACAATCAATGAATTTGTAGAGAGGGTTTTTTTCATTTGGTCTAGAGAGCTTTCTTATTCAGCAATGCAGAAATGTGCCTTTATTTCCTTTTATGTGCAGAAGCTCATTTAATAAAATAGGTTTGAAATAAGAAATTTTCAGTATCTGAATGCACTAAAACTTAGATTTAAATAGATTATGTTCATTAATGTCACTTGAACTACAAGCAGGGTTCCCACATCTTTTGCCCATAAATCTCAATGACATTTCCAGGGCTTCACACACATTTTGAACAATGTATTTCTACGCTTTTTCTATGACATTTTAGATCATTCATGATTATTGGATAATTTTCAAGACAATTAAATATTTTAGAGCAAAAAATACATATAAAAATATGTTCACATTTCAATTACTTCCATGACTTTTCCGGGACTTGAAAATCACAATGTCTCTCTCTCTCACACACACACACACACACACACACACACACACAATAACTGATATTTCCAGGTTTTACAAGCTTTTTAACCCATTCATGATAAGGACAAAATTTATACTGTCCTCAAATTGAGCAATTTCTAACTATAATATTTTAGATATTAAATATTTTAGAGCTGAACATAACTTGAAAATATATAATCGCCAAGATTAGGTCCACAACTTTTCCA